TTGACAGAGTTATGCCCCTTGGACTTAGAAAAATTCCAATTATTTGCAGTTTCCGTTCATTTTCTTCGCAGAGGTTACACATACTGAAAGGAAATTTAGTATACAGGTATATCATATAAATATCTAGCTCAAGTTCTGTTTTGGGTACGATCGCGCCATTTTTGACAGAGTTATGCCCCTTGGACTTAGAACAATACCAATTATTTGCAGTTTCCGTCCATTTTCTTCGCAGAGGTTGCACATACTGAAATGAAATTTAGTATACAGATGTTTTAGCTGAATATCTAGGTTAAGTTCTGTTTTGGATTCGATCGCACCCTTTTTGTCAGAATTATGCCCCTTGGACTTAAAAGAATTCCACTTATTTGCAGTTTTCGTTTTCTTTGCAGAGGTTTCACATAATGAAATAAAATTTAGTATACAGATTTTTCAACTAAATATCTAAGTCAAGTTCTGTTTTGGGTACTATTGCACCATTTTTTGACAGAGTTATGCCCTTTTGGACTGAGAAAAATTCTAATTTGGGGGGAGGGGCGTTTTACAAACATCTCTTGTTTTCAATCGGGTTTATGATAAAGCAACAAAAGAGAGACTAAAATCCCAATTGCTTGAAAAAAGCTTACCAACGAGCGAATTAATCTAGTTAATGCTCGAATGACAAAAATGTAAGGACAAAAAGTTAAAAATACGAAAATTACGAATAAACTAAGCTTGTGTTATCTTCGCCTAAGTAAAGGAGAAAGGCCTCAAATTGTCCATTCTGTGAGAGAAAGAGAGAGATTAGTTCTTTCTCTCACAGAATGGACAGTTTGAGGCCTTTCTCCTATTTAAAACATGATTCTCTTTGTTCTCAAAATATAACAAAATATGTGCATTTTTTAGCTTGTAGCACACATACTATAAATTTATTGTTTACAGAATAGACAGTTACAGGTAAGCTTGGGGTGCAGTGTGCACAGCAATTTGTTGAATAGCCATTGTGTGTGTTTCCAGTTGCAAATAACAAAATGTCTTTGTCTAAAGAATGGACAGTTACAGGTAGATTTCGGGGGATGCTAGTTTTTATATAAGAATGCAACTCCTCAAAATCAGTTTATATTTTGCGTTGTAAAGGCAAACATGTCTCCCTCCGATGGAGAGGATATATGAGAGAATCGAAATCGAATTGAAACCAAAAGATGCACACATCTAGTGATACTTTGACCTTGAAACAGAGAATAGTAAGCGTAAAAGGAAATATTATCCAAACTTTGATCCCTTCAAAACTTCTACTACAAATTTGGATATTTCGAATACAAACCGGAAATGTGTGTGTGTGTGTGTGTTTTTAATTCGAATTCAGTTTTTGAGGATGTATTTAATTGCAGCAGTGTAATAGTGAAATGCAAATTGTGTTCCGCGTGTTTGGGCCAAACTTCGACCTGAAAATATATATCAAATTGAAATCAAATCTGGAAATGTTTCAATTTTAATTATTCGCTACCCAAATATTCACTGCAGCAGTGTAATTTTCATGGTGCAAACTGTTTTCTGGGTGATGGATTTAATGTAAGCCTACTTCAAGCTTAAAATGGATTCTTCTCGAGGGAATGATGCTTCCAAAATCTTAATCAAATATGAAATTGTGTCATTAAAATTCAAGTTTTGTGAATTGAAATAATGTGCATTACTCATGGATTTAAATGTGTAAAATCGAAAAGATTCGATGCAGACACTGTGTTCTGGATTAACTTATATCTCTAAGTTCTTTTTGTTTTTTACATGTACATTAAATCGTATCTAATATATTAATTTGTTTTTGTTTCCCTCTTGTGCACATGGTAAGGTTTACCTGTAACTGTCCATTCTGTTTGTTTTTAACTGTCCATTCTTATTGAAAAAACTGTCCATTCTTAAAAAGAATAGACAGTTTTCCAAAAAGAATGGACACTTAGAGGTGACTTAATGGATTGTTAGGGAAGTTAGCTCAACACTAAGCTATAGAATGGACAACACGAACAAAAGGTTTAAGTCACAATCATGTTTTAATAACTCAGAATGACAATTTAAAATGGTTGACTTGAAAGATTGAAGTAAACCTCCAATGTGGCGATCAACGAGAAATAACTCTTGCTCAATTCAGGCTAATCGAAAACTATCTTTATAATTTCATACCATCGAAATTTCCAACTGTTTATCTGCGTTTTGAGCTCCTACTTTGGCTCGCACCTCGCATAGGTTTTACCTGAAATATCCCTTTTCAATTTTCCAACGCCACTTACTGTCCAAACAATGCATATAGATTCTACATACTCCCTATCAAGGTCTCATCTGAAGAGAGACGGTTTGTAAGCAAAGATGTCTGGCTGAAGAATCAATTTCTTAGTGACGCTATTGTGACGTCATAAAATTGAATCGTTACAGAACAAAAAGGATTTCGGGAATTTTTTTGTTGCATCAAAGACGCTATTGTGACGTCATAGGACTGAAACGTCACCGAACAAAAAGGATTTCGGGAATTTTTTGTTGCATCAAAGAAAGGTAAAAGCTGATTTATAACAGAATATTTGGAAAGATTTCCTTAATGGGGTGTACTTCTTCTACAGAGGCGATATCCGTTGTGGAAATTCGTCAACGAAGGCGGTCGATCAGACAAAGAATAGTAGGGTTCTTCTCAAGAAGGTCCAAATCCAGGAAACAGCCGGAGCCGAATCCAGGAGACGGATTGGAGAAAGAAGTTATCCCAGCCGGCGATATTTCTGGTGTGAGGTATACTACCCAGGTATTGTGCGCCCCTATTTTAAATAAGAGTTACTCCAATACTTCGATTACTGAAATGATTGACATTTTTGAGAAATTAAGAGCAAGAAGATGGAACCGCAGTAACATCTCTATCATTAATATCGATGATTCCGATCAATCTGGTTCAATTTTGCATGACTCTGAGTCTGGGCAGGGAAACATGACCACAGGAAACGACAGTTCTGAGGAAAGTATTAAGAACAATCCCCTATTATAGAAGCCCGAGTCAGAGCTAAATCTTGACCACCCTTACTCCCTTGCTGAATTTCCAAGCGAGGTAAAATCTTCAACCGCCCAGATCTGCATTGGTGGCATCCCTTCAGAGGAAAGCGTCAATGAGATAGCCGTCCGACATTGGTACCTTTAAAAAGCCCATAATGACAAGGAGCAGGAGGCCAATAGCATTGTAACAATAGAGAGCAATCCTTATCAAGCAGCTTAGAAAATCTACATGCTGTAGTACAGCTGCAGCCAGATATCTCCAGCAGGTAAACGCTAGGGTATACAGCAATGGTTACTCTTTCCAAAGCAGTTGACGAAAAAGCTGTATTAAGTATCAGTATAGTCATTTGACCATGCTTCCATAGATAAGCTAAGACATTGACAGTCTAAAAGAAGTCAGTACTGGCTCAACCACTGAAATGTTTCAATGTATTTTGTTTCTAGTGGACCGGCCCTGATTGTAAAACAGAACAAAATGTGATTGAATGGTGCTGACAGTTTAAAGGCGTTTTTTGATACATAAAATTGATGTACATGTACATGTACTTTTATACATGTACATGTATTTTTATTTTTTTTTTCTGCCTTTTGATTTTTTTTTTCAATTTTCAATTTTTTCTTTTAAGGCACAATCAGTACATTAACCTAAACATAAGTCGGAGAGGGAAATTGTTGATTTAGAGACAAAGTATATACTTAATCAACTCCATTGTACCTTATTTAAACCTGAAAACATTTCCTTGGGGAAAAGAGAGAAGGTTAGGTGAAAACACTTTCCAAAGTCAATTTTCTACATCTTACCATTTCAAGAGGGGTTCAAGTTCTTTTTAGAGGAGGGGGGTATCCATGATGCGATCTCGTTTAAAGTCAGCATGTCGTAAATTCTATGGTCATACAGTTATGACTTTTTTAACAAATAAAACTTCTCATTAAGGCCATATTTTAGCTGATTTGTTCCAAACCAGTTGATAGGCCTTAGTTTTTATGCTAAATTTGACTACGGTGTGTTTGGTCTATACCAAATCAATACACAGCGCGTACGGCGGATGTGACCATAACAGGGGATGCTTACTCCTCCTTCGCACCTGATCCCACCTTTTTGATTTCCGGGGTCTGTTTTTTTTTTTGTCCTGTTTATTTTTTGTTTGTTTGTAGATTTCTTTTGATTGATCACCGTTCCTTATTTTCATTTTTTTCCCGTTTAAGTCCTATTTGTTTCAGTAATAAGGTCACTGTAATTATTTTTGGACTTGCCAGTTTATAGCAATATCAGTCTTGGTAGTCAGCAAGATTTCCGATGAACTTCTGATGAGTACAAGGGTACATTTGCTGTGTGTTTGATTCATAACTATAAAATGTACTTTGTTTAGTATTTAGCAATAGTCAAGAGAATTTTAATTTCATAATTGTTGGGATTTCATTTGAATTAAGCAACATGTCCTGTTTTATATGTAAACATGTTTTTAAAAAAGTATTTAATCCTTACTAGATCAAATATCTTGGAACCATGCATTGACTAATTTTTACAAAGACATACATTCCGACTTTTAATACGCTTTTGTCAGTAAGTGAATGTCAACACTGTTCTGGATCAATGTACTAGTTTTTTACAGAACACACATTTTAGGATGTGCAACATGTTAAAGAATCCTGAAGAATTCCCACCTGATATGACTGATGAAGCTCTGATCTCCGTCTAGTATCCCCATATCACACCGTGTTAAAGTACTTATACTTATTTAAAATCGATTGCATAATACTTACGGGCTTAATTTCTAATCAGGAACTTAATCCTTGTAATGACGGTAAACATTCCAAATATACATTTGAATTTAGGAAATAAAAAGACCGCAAACAATATTGACCTTAATGTTAAGGTCACTGACAACAGTGGCGTAACTATAGACATACTAGTACTCCAGTCCAGATTCAGAGAGAAATGAGAACCAACGAATTTATTTTCATATAAAAGTAAAATAACAGAATTCATGGTCCATTTCCTGAAACGTTGATATTTTAAATTTTCAAACTTTTAACAATTGCTCATTTATATGTAAGTGTCTAAAATTCGTACAAATGTACACTTCTGAGTTTACATATATACAATTCCTTTAACATCAAACGATGCGGTTCTTATATGTATAGGTTCACTTTAATGGGAACAGTAAGTAAAAACGTAAATATAAGGTTTACCAATACCATAAAATGTTACTTTCATTTCACTCCACTTACTACACTGCTTCGACGACGAGACATATTGAAATTACACAATTCAATGACCGATTCCACCGCCTTCATTCGCTCCGAAGACTTTCTAGATCCTGTCGATTGTTCGGAACTGACAGACGTCGATCGACTTCTAGGATGCACGTAATGGACGAAAGGTCTATAATTCAAACTCAGTTGCGGGATCCAAATTTCGTATAAACTATGGATCATTTGCTTTGTGTTCTGTTGACAACTGGGAACAGAACTCAGATCCGACATGGCACTTTTGGTTAATCTGGTTGGAGCTCGTATCGTCGTGAAACAAAATCCAGTAGGACTGTTAGCAGGAGATTTTACCAAAGGAAGTGCTCCCAATTTTTTGTCCTCCAAAATTGAAGCCAGATGATGATCTCGTCTGCTGGCACTGTAAGCAGAAGATGATCGTCTCGTGGCAGACGACGATCGTGATAGAGAGTAATCGCGAGGCCAGCGATTCCGGGGATACCTCAAAATATCGTCACTCCTGTCACTGAGCTTGGATAAATCCAGACTTATTTCACTTTTCTCCAAGCTTTTCTTCATTGTTTAAAATCGATCCTTTCAAACCTGTGGTTTTTCAATGATGAATATTTAATCAATAGTAATGGAATCTGCCTTTTCATAGGGTTGGAAAACTGCTTTTTAATTCCATGGGTAAAGTACACCACTTCAGTCCACAAGTCGCCAGAGCTGTACACCATTGGAAAGAAACACAACACATCTATTCCTCTTCTTCTAGTTAATAAACTTATTTTCTTCTCTGATAATTCAACAATGTCAACAGAATAAGCAAATTGGAATACTGTTTGTCGAATCCCTTTTTAATCTTCTGTAAGGTCCCTGCCAAGAAAATGAACTAAAGTATTTGTAATCCACTTAAAGATTTATTTATGAGTGACTGAAGTTAAAATGTATAACAATGGGGTACAATGAAAATATGGTTAAATTAATAATGAAGTTGAAAATTTTGTTTGAATGAACCTTGTCCCTAAAATATGTGAATTTAATCTCGCTAAACTGCGTCACTGTACGTTGTAATTAACTGCATGGTAATTCAAAGCTTATAACCATGGGAAAACATTGAAAAAGATGAGTTCAAATTGTCATAAAATCTTGATTTTTTTTTGTTAATTTTAAAGGTACATGTATCTTTAACAAAATTTGTTTCGACTCAGGTGCGTGATTGGTTAAGAACAATGATGTATTGAATTCTCTTGAATGATGTATTGAATTCTCTTGCTGTGCATCAATATCTACCACAATTATCTGCATTGTCGTGAATGCTGGGAGTCGGTTATTGCTTTTTTTTTCCTCGAACAAAAGCAACTTCATAGTTCGTGTTAATTTGAGAGAGAGAGAGAGAGAGAGGGGATATATATTCTTTTTTAAAGTTTCTAAGATCGTTCATCATAACTATCATCATTTTGAAATAATTTTAGACAAGTCTTACCGTTTTATTCCTTTACATGCCGTTAACGATTCTTCAAATCCCCCTATTTCAAATCAATAATCAGATATATATGTTTTAATTGGGGATTTTAAGACGTTTAAAAGGGTGTATGCCTCATTTGTTTCAAACAAAACTTTACTTTTTTTTTGCAATTCTTTCTCCTTTATTTCAAGCTTTAAATTAAAAGTATCACCTTTCAAGAGCCCATACTAACCAAAAAAACATTCCTTATCACTATGTTAGCCCGACACAACACTGCAATGCATATGTCATCAAAATTTCAACGTATAAAATGTGTCTAAATGGAAAGGGGAAGGGGGGGGGGGTATTTCCTCTTTTATTTTTATAATTATGGATTAAGAAAACTTGGCGGATTATACGGTTATATACGTATTGTGCCAGATGTTGACCGACTCCTTTCGGCAAATAACTTCAAAATCTCCAAGTCATCATATATATTTTTAAAAACTCTTAAGTCCCCTTTTGATAAGTTTTGGATTGCATGTTGTTAAAAAACCAATATCATGTGCGCAAGTTAAATGTTGTTAATGAGCTTAATAATTAAAAGTTCGTTTTAAGAGCGAATGTTGCCTATGATCTTTTAGTCTTAGTTAATATATCTACATGTATGTAATGTAGCATGCGCAGAACAACCCCTTTTCACCTAGAATTTGCAGTGATATTAAATGTATATACTAAACAACTAAAAGTGACCCACTCCCCTGGAAAACGCGGATCGGTGTTAAGTTTATCTGAAAAGTCATAGGTCTAGGTATATTAGGCTTTAGAAGTCACAACCCCTCCTCCCCACGAAATAAGTTTTTCACGTTTGGGATAGGAGTTTACGGTTCTTTTTTTTTCAAGAAATGTGGGTTGGTTTTTTGTGGGATCACGGTGGACCCCCCTCCCTTGAAAAAAAATTCCTGTATCTGCGCCTGATGAAGTATTAATTTTAAAACGTAACCATATTATTTAAAGATCGGTATAGCGGAAAGTATGCGCATCGCTCTTTTTGGGGGGTCGGGAGTGGGGGAAGGGCATGGGGCCACTCAAGAAGCACCTGAGGACACCGTAGTATTTTCAACTTGACAAAGAATTAACGCACTAGGACATTCTTGAAAAAATACATTGGAGGAATACCGACACCAGTTTTGTGCAGAATGTTTTTAAAAGTGTTCTCAAAGATCATCATGACAATATAACTTTAAAAAAAACAGCCGGTGGAGGCATGTCCCTCCAATTTAACCTCCCGTGTTCACACTACGCCCAACTTGATCTGCTATTAAAAAAAAAGATTTTATTGTAAAAACAAATTCATTACTAGTATTTTAATACCTGTAAAACTTTCAAGAACAATGGGCATATTTTTATGCCCCATAATCAAAGATTCAGGTGCATATAGTACTTGTCTTGTCTGTCCGTCCTTCCATCTGTTTGTCCGCCAAAACATTTAACTTGCCATAACTTTAATAAGTTGGAGCTATGGCTTTTTAGCTCACCTGAGCCTTCGATCTGTTATCAGAATTTCTCCACTGTCTGTCGTTGTCGACGTACACATTTCTCATTTTCATCATCATCTCAAGAACCATTGGGCCAATTTCAACCAAACTTTAAAACCTTCTCGAGAATAGCAAAGCCAAGATTGGTCATAGTTATTATATGTAAACACCATCAGGTAGTGTAGATTCAAGTTTGTTTAAATCATGGAATACATTTAATTTTGAAATCTTCTTGAGAACAGCAACGCTGTGATTGGTCTTATTTATAATTTTAAATACTTGACTGATTTTTTGCTTTGTCCCAAGTCATTGTGCTCAGGTGAGCGACGTGGCCCTTAGGCCTCTTGTTATGTTTGACATGTGTATTCATTATGAGATGACCTTCCTTTCTCCCTTTGGGGAACAATATATTTGACCTTTTGACCTTGGAGTTTTTGACCCACTTTTGCAAATTTTACCTAACCTTTTTTTTTCCTTGGCCATAACTTTTGAAGGTGGTGCTAGGACCTTAGCACTTCTCAATGATATTTTTGTGATAAGGATTCCTATGGGTATAAAAAATTTTGACCTTCTGGCCTTGACCCACTTTCTAAAAACATTAACCTTGCCCATGTTTTGAATGGTTAGGGCTTCAGTATTGTACATTGTGTTTGACCCACTTTTGAAAACTTAAATTTTGCTTAACTGTTATATGGAAGATGTATTCCGTATGACAAGTTCTTCCCTTGAGTTTTTACCTTTCACCATTGGACTTTGATCTACTTTTGCAAAACTTTAACCATGGCCATAACTTTAATTTCTGGTTCTAGGCCTTCCAAATTTCCAAAGAGTATTCCTTCTCACAAGATCTGCAATTTTAATTCATTTCTTTTACCCCTTTTACCTTGAATTTATCAATATATTTAATCTCTTGACCTTACAGTTTAACTTGCATTTTAAAGGTAAAAGGAGAAATTGTAAAGATGATGAATTATTATCTCTTCAGTCAAACCTAACTCATCACAATTACAACTTGTGTACCATTTTGAATTATTTCCTTATTTCCAAACAAAAACCTTGAAACAACCATTTATTTACTTTATTCTCCACTCAAATAACCCTGAAAAGTTTCATTGTAGTGACCTTTTATTTCCCAGACTGATCCATTGTGTTTCCAAGGGCTATTTAAAGTAAAATTTATAGGGCATGAAGAATTATACACACAGAGAAACAATGTTTTTCTTTTTACCTTTTTTACTTCACTTAAATTAGCTTCAATGACAAATAACTTAACAAGCATAGTTTCATTAGGGTTAAATATCAAGTGTTTTCTCCTTGGTGTATTTCTTGATTGTTTAAACCATAATAGATGTACCTGTATTTATATTGGAATGTACCAGTTCAAAAAAAGGTAGACAAACAAATTAAAAAAAACCAAAATGAACAAAAAATTACAAAATAAAAAAAAGATGCACATGCTCATAAAGAATACATGTTCTAGGCTGTAATACACAACACTATTATCTGTAACAAGAATTTCTAAAAGACCTATTTGGAAGAAAATGTTGTTCAACTACAATCAATGGTTTAAATAAATCACAGATTTGCTTATATCTGTTGTTACTCCCTTTCTAAAACCAATATCTCATTTCTTACAGCAGTTTTGCAAATTAAATACTGCAAGATTATTCTATCCACCAAATACATCTTGAAACTCTGAAAAAACCAATCCCTAGCTTATCTAGCGATTGTATGGTTGATGTGAAGATGAAGGATTTACTGTCAAATAAAATTTATATTATCCCACATCTATCTAGCGAATGGCCGGCCTGAGGAGGAAGGAATGGGTTGCTCCCGTGAATATTTTGGAGAGTACAGATACCAATATAAACCAGGCTTTAGTCTCTCTGCAGCAGATAAATAAATCTTAAAGTCTCCATCTGTCAGGATACATAAATCTTTTTGGAGTTTCTTAAAATTGCCTTTGAATGGAAGAGTCCCGGAGTTCCTAAAAAAAAGAAATACAATACTTCTGTGAAATTAATTCAGTACTTATCATGTAACACTCTATCTACATGTATACGATAAGTAATACAAATTTAGGTAAAACATTGTCTGAGCTTTTAAGATTTTTTTCACCATACTTACGTTTCTCCTTCGATGTATTTGATGATACATAAAGCCTTGTGTTGTATACTCCTGTTAAACTGCTGGATATAGGCCTCCCGTACCCCACACTCTGCCGGCAACTTGTCCAGCTACAAAATAAAGAAAAAAAAAATCATAATTCATTTGTGCAAATTTCATAGTTTGCTAGTTGTTATGCTTGGGAACAATTGTGAAAATAATTTTATAGCTTTTAAATTGAAAAACAGAAGTTTTTAAATGGCATTTTATTGAATTCTGTGGAAGTTTTGAAAGTCAGCTTATGTTTATGACAGAACAATGTGCTAACCGATGTGACAATGCACTGGCACTTTTGTAACAATGCATAGATGCATTGTATACAAGTTAACACACAATAGATAAGTTGCGTTAGTGTGAACATTGTGACGGCATGCTCTGTGATAGTGTGATGGCATGTTGGTAATGTTGTGAACAATGCACTAGCGCATTGTCACTTTGCCCTAGTTTTGTTATTCCTTACATGCTGTCACTCTTTTGCAAATAGCCCTATAGGGACACCATACTATCCTACTGACTGAATAAACTTGCCTCACTCAAATCCTTTTTTAACCTCTAGGATATGATATTTTTTTTTCATTCCTTCCAAATTTCCTGATCCCGTCCACAAAATATTTAATTTTATATTAATCAGATTCAATATAATGCTTGATAAATATTTGAGTACATCTGTACTTACTTCATCTAGAAGTCCTGTAACCAGCGTGTCTGATTTATCATGCAGGGAAAACAATTCACTAAACAAAAAAAAAATAACATAATTATTCAGTATATAGTGCACTTACATGGAAATATACTTCACAATTTTATTTAATTCTAAAAACTATTCAGCTAGAAAGTGGCTTCATATCAACTTTTTATTCATTATGAATTTTATAGCATTACTACGGTAAAGAAAAAAGAAATACTATACTGTACTATTTTATCATATCTAAATATTCAATAAATTTTACACTGCTTCATTTCCATATACATGCTCATATCAATGCAGAGTTACCCTTGAGGAATACTGGACTCTGTATCTCCATAATGGAGACCTATGAGTTCGTTGTACCGCTGATCGTGGGAGTAGGTCACATGATCTGTGTAGGTGGGGGATTCCCGGACCATCTTCTGAGACAGGTCTATCACGGTGGAGGGGTACTCACTGTACAGGATCTCCGACACAGGTAAATCAAGGTGGTCTGAAGTCTGAAAGGATCTATATCTAATACAATATGTACATACCGGGTAGTAAAGAAAATGTTTCACAGGCATATACACTTATTTTTATTTATGTGTGTTTTATATGACAGATTTAAAGTACAAAAGAATGTGATCATTTTCATAAATTTATATCTTGAAGTTTTCCTTGGTTCCATTGATTTCAATAAAATGAAATTTGGCTGTATCACATAGTATGGAGATGTACCTGAACTTGTCCCTGTGGTCACATACTTATAGCATAGAGGTATAGCTGAATGTTGTCCTCCTGTGGTCAAATATTGTAGTGATATTTACCTGAGCTCCTTTGTCACACAATTGAATTTACCCAACCTACCCTTGTAGCAAGTCAATGGTAGCATTTCTCTTGACTTTCCTTAGTAGCCATATGTAGTAGTACATTGTAGTATTTATCTAAATTGGCCTATAGCCATATGCACTGTATCATGGTGGTATTTACCTGAACTTGGCCTTGTAGCCACATATCATGATGGTAATGAAGTGATTCATTTTGCTGGACTAGCCTTGAACAACATCTCTCTTTTGGTGAATTAAACAAACTTAGGGTTTTCAGCATCTGCAGTGAACCAAAACAAAAAATATCATTCCAAATCAGTGCTATTGACAATAGGAGCTTTACTACTACATGTATTCCCAACATTTATATCTCGAATACAAGGGAAATGATTATGTGATTTAGCAGTCCTACCTATTTCTTTCAATATTTTTTAAACCTTAAAATGATAAATTCTTATACAATTACATGTATATCTTGAGCCCCATCAAGATTAAGATAAGGTTTGACTGTAAACATTATCTTCATACTGAAATAATGTATGAAAAAGACAGGGAAAATTTATTTTACCATATTGACATGATCTGCTTTTTCACCTATCACCAAGCTCCGGCCAAATGTTGTGAGATGAGAACTAATACAACAGCTGAGGAAATCCCTGTCCAGATGATGGGCCGGGCACAGATATGTAGAGGACAACTGAAAGTCAAAAAGGTTACAGTTAGTGGTCATAATAGTTGAACTTATCTCAAACACTATGGAAATGGTGATTCTTTTTGTATTTTACTCTTGATAACTAAAATCCATCAAATTTGAAATAATAAGTTTTGAGTGTGCTTATCAATTTATCATTGAGTACAAATCAATCACTATGGTAACATCACATGAAATTACTAGTGAAGCAAGAAAAATGAATTCCATATGGAACACAATGTGGCATTTTCATATCCTACAACAGGTGATATGTTACAAAATATTTAACTGCTCAGTTTGTGTGTACAAACTGACCTAAACATGAAACTGTATTGTTCATTGGTGTTCAATAAATGAACAGATGTGATCCTTGGTTTTAATTTACCCATATCATAAATACATATAAATAATCAAATGAAAATAGTCAAAAGAAGAAGTTAAAACACAGGAAAGAATTCTATATTGAACATACCACAATCTTATGAGGAAAGCGTGACTTTTTAAGACATCCTATGTTTTCAATACATTGCCGACAAAGATCACCGAATTCTTTGTAGGTTTCTTCTAGGGTTGAGTCTACAGACACCTGAAAATATTATTTCTCTCTTAAAAATTAAAATTTCATTCAGTATGTGAGAATGAAAATCAAAATACCCTGTTGAAATGGTTGATAACATATGTTGTCACCTTATTCAAAGTTAAAAACTTGCTTCTGAAAATTTTAAAAAGATGGTTATTATAGTCAAATTACAATGAAAATTAACTTAAAGTAAAATTATGAGGAACAATTTATGGCAAGATTTGTGAGTTGACATGAAGTTAATTGTGAGAATATAGCAAATACGAAAAATGAGTATACATCATGTACATGTTATTTTGCCATTTTGTGTGGAATTTTTGGCATAATGTGTAATTTAGTGTTGTACATATGTACAGAGTATAGGCAAATGAAAGACACACAAAATTTGAACAGAAAACTGAACCAGGCCCTTGGATCAAGTAAACTAAAATGAAAAGTTTTTTACCGAAATTACCTGACTTAGAATAACTTTGAATTTCCCAACAATTCTTTCTAAACACTTTTGAAACAGCTGTTGAATATTTAAGTAAAACACCATGTCTGCTTTTTGTATGACTATGGATAAAGCATGAACACAGGGTCCAGTGATACCAAGTGCTGTAAAAATAAAGGCTGTCACAAAAACATCTGCCTCTTGAATCTCGTAGAGTTTGTGATCTATAAAGCTCGTCACATCTCGACAGATCTCGCCACTCAAACCCTGACTACTGATCCGTGAAAGCAAACTCAAATCCAGTGAACCGGATCCCATGTTCCACACATGAACGACTCTTGGTCCTAGAATGTTGTCCCAGTGAGACAAAACCATGTATTTGATCAAATTCTGTCCTGGGATGTCAATTTTAGATTCTGTAAATTTGGATGATGGACTCAGTGGAGTTATGTCCCCTGGAAATGATTCACTGGGTTCAGCCGTTTCCTGACTTCCAATCTGAATCACTCCGGCGCTGATGTTCCGAATCATCTGTTTGATATTCTTGGAGGAGGACATAGTCTTGTATTATTTTTCTACGTCCACCTCACTTTTCGAGATATTTTCAGTGATGAAAACTTCAATGTTTTATGAATATTTATCACATAACTTTGATTTCTCTATGAGAGTTTATGGTATACACAACATACTCAGCCAACAATATGTTGATCAGCACAAAGCTATTGGCAATAAATGATATGGAGTACATGATGTCACTTGGAGGAGAAGTTGTATGTGTAAGACATAGTACAAACAATAGGCAGACCAGAGAAACAATGGAGAAGAATGTGTAGTTGACAAACAGTAGAATTAAGCCCTCTCGGTTCTGGATTTCTGTCAGCCAATCCTCATGCATAGCAAAAGTTTTCCTGCTCCTCCTAAGGATTGCATTAACATCGACCTTGGGGTACTAGTTTGATAAATTTCTTCAAAAATCACAACCTACAAAAAATGAGTTATAACTATAAGTATATTTTAAAAAATGTTGAACCCAGAAACATTAAATTCAGATTACGTGTAATGAATTATTTTTCTATAATTTAAAATAATTTGGATTTTGAAAAATGACATACAGGTAAGTGATCTACATATTATATAAGGTATTATAAATGACACAAATACGAAAAAAATGTTAAGTATTGCAAAGTTCATGTATATCGTGTATGATGATAGAGTTTTCTGATAAATCTAAAATTAACTCAGACAACTTTAATTTATAACAATTATAGTTTTTGTTGTTAGCTATTTAACATTCAAGAAACCATGCAACACCAAAGCAGAAGTCTCAGATTCTGATAGATTCCTTTATCAAAAAGAGGAAAGCATATAACAAAAAGTTCACTATAATGTCATCAAAAAAGTGCAGGTAGTATATAAGTACTAATTCAAATAGTTTATCATATATAAAAATAGGTCTTAGCTATTCAGAATTTCAGATGTAATAGGAGAGGAGAAAAATGCAGTGGCTTCGAACCCAGGCCCCCTGAATCTTTCGTCAGGTGCCTTACTAAAGTCTAATTAAGCTATCTGGCCACCAGCGATCACATCTGACTGAACCATTCCTCCCTCCTTATTAGTTTTTGTTCTTATAGTCATCAACCCAGCCTCCACCATGGCAAATCTTTCACCTGTCACTTCAAGGCCATGGTATCAATAATCCATGTAATCCAAGTCTAGTCCACTGCATTTTTCTCCTCTATCATTACACAGACAATACATGAGCACTTTTCTGCATAATCTTTTCATCGTTTTGATCTCTGTTTTACTATATTCCAGACAAAATTTGATTAGGTGATAGAAATAAATGGGAAGATCATTTAAAGTTGTAAACAGTGAGGTACCCCCCCCCATTTTTGAAGTATGCTGTGATATCTAGTTATCAATGTTTCCTAACTATTTATCGCTGTGACAGTTCACTCAAACCATTTTAAGACATCGAAAAATCAAATATACTTTTCTTTTTGCAATCAGGATTTGCACAATGCAAGAAGTTACCTTCTTTCATTTACCGGGTTGCCCCTGTGTGGTGTGTCAGATGATGAAGACTCTTCTGTATGAGAAAACCACATTTCGTCTTTACTTCCGGTTTGTAAGTCAACATGTGAAATTGTAAAACGTTGTGAAACAGCTTTAACTTAGTAGATCTAGCATTTCTTCCACAATACTCAGAAGAATGACGACTTTAGTAAATGAAAACTCTGTGGAAGCAATTGGAAACATTTTAGTTGACAAAACAAAACCTTTGAAAGACCGATTTCGAGCATTATTTACTTTACGCAACATAGGGGGAGAAAAAGCCATAGACTTCATTTCAAGCTGTTTTGACGACACATCTGCCCTTCTCAAACATGAACTAGCCTATTGTCTGGGTCAAATGCAGGATAAATATGCTCTGGGTATCTTATCTCGCGTTTTGGCTGACCGAACACAAGAGGCAATGGTTCGTCATGAAGCAGGTAAGCCTGAACTTCATTACATGATTAATGAAACCTGCTGGTTCAGCATGTTAACTTCAGTACCTTTGTGTGTGACCAGATAATCTATCGTTGACATTTTGACTCTCCAAATACATGTGTGGCGGTCAGCCAGGTTCGATCGCTGGTGGCCAGATAGCTTAGTTGATAGAGCACCTGACCAGAGTCTCAGGGAGTCTGGGCTCAAATCCCAGTCTGGTCCATTGCATTTTCTCCTCTCCCGTTACACATGTATGTTTTGGGATCGAGGATGGTTTAATTTGTGGTAACTAAAATCTATGTTAGACCTTTTCTCAACATCTGACTGTCAGCCTAGACAGTTTACATATGGATCATCGATTGTTCACACTTGTAGATTTCTTATGTTCTATTCAATCTTAGTTAATACTTGTAGAAATAAATTTCTTGTTAATATTCAATGCCATCAATCCAATGTAATTTGTTGAGTATGTTTATTTCTGAATCTGTTCAGTGTTTTACATCACCAGTCAAATATTAATATGATTTCAGGTGAGGCTCTAGGGGCTATTGGAGCTCAGGAATCTTTGGGTATCTTAAAGGAATACCAAAATGATCCAGTTATAGAGGTATGTATGTCATGTGTATTCGGTACATGTGCACATCAACCAATTACTGTAAACCAACTTATATTCATGTGCAAGAAATTTTCGCGAGAGCCTCGTCATCGTTAATATTTCTAGCCATGAACTGCATGGTTCCTAAAGTCTCTGTGTCTAGTTACAACAGATCATACGAGACCTGATCACAAAAATTAATTGTGGCAAACTAGTTTGCCCCCAGTAAATTGCAAAATAAATTTGCCGCAAATAAAAGTTGATTTACAGTAAATATAAGGCATTATATATATATAGGTGTCTATCAGCATGATCAGTGTGGGTTACTAATATCAGCTATGTAAAGATCTGACAAAATATCAGATCTCAAGAGTTCAGTGGTAAGAGTGCCGGCACAGTATGCCAAAGACCTAAGATTTGAATCTGAAAAAGATTATCAGTATGAAAACTGGACTGAGACTTGATTTTTCATTACCTGTCATGTAATAATAGTAGACATATTAAGTGTAGAGTACAGGCCTGTGGATGTGTTTTCTGGCTTGAGCTAAAAGTTCAAGTAAGGTTGAAACCTTCTCTAATTAGTTTTGAACCTGTGTCATTCTTACATTTGTTTTTTGTCTGTCACCAGCCTGTCAACTTTTTGCCCCTTGTAAACTTAAAGACCAAATGTAACTACACTTCCCAAAGAAAATTCAAATTAGTTCAGACAAAACTCAGATGTCTTCCTGTAAGAATCATTATGAGGGTAAAATATAATTATTGTGAGAAGCTAAATTTATCCAGAGAGAGAGTATGCGAGTACATGTATTATGTCATTGTGACTTACTTGAGCATAATAATCTGTATGCCTCCTTTGCAATCCTTTGTACAAAATGATTTTACATCTATCATAGGTTGCAGAAACTTGCCAGTTAGCTCTCCAGAGGTTAAACTGGCTAAACGACCAGCAGGAGGAGAAGGACTTGTTACCCAATCCCTACAAGTCCGTGGACCCAGCTCCATCTACAAGCAAAATGGAAGTCACAGAACTGGAAAATATCTTGTTGGACGAGTCTCTACCTCTCTTCCAGAGATACAGGGCAATGTTTTCACTCAGAAATATAGGAACAACAGAAAGTGTAAAAGCACTAGCAAAAGGTAATATGCTGGTCTTGCCCTTTTAGCTGAACTGATACAAATACTGTAGATCACTAAATTTTCGTGACTCCTTATTTTCGCGAGATAGTCATTGACTCTTTATTAGCGAGACATAATTTTCACGAATTGTTGTTTTTCCTCTATATAATCGTAAGGAAAACTTTTAAACGCGAGAATTAAATTTTCGCCAGCTCATTGTCTCGCGTAATTACACGAAAATTAAGTTCTCGCAAATAAAACGTGATTTATAGTACTCAAATGAGATTATATTTTATTGAAGGTTGTCTGGCATTGTTAGCTCACCTAAGATAAAAGCTGAGGTTTCCAAATTTCTTCAAAAAGTATTGGTATAGTGAAGTATGTGTGTGGGAGGGAGGGGGTGTTTGTTTAAGATCTCTTTTGAGAATTTTTCACTGATATGGAGTTGCTACCACTTGCCAGTGGTGGGCTGCAAATTTAAACTTATGCTCTGCACTAAGTACCATTGAACTGTGATTGATCACCTTTGTGCTTGCACTAGTAATGCCTCACAGGAAAATATCAGCCAAAGGTCTGGTCTATAAGTCCCACTGTGGAATTTAAACTAATGATGTATGGATGATATGGGATCACATCCTTACTCCAGTACTCTGTACAGTCTAACCACTTTGCCAGTTGGGTAGTTGAAAGGAGCAGGAGGTAATCTTGTCCAAACTGCAGCAGAATTTGAATTACATTTCAAATGAAGTTTATATTTGGCATTGTCATGTGGGTTATAGGTTTGGCCTCAGTATGATCTTTATATTACTTATTACTTTGCCTTTTGAATTAATATGATGGGAAAATTTCTTTTAATCTATATGAAAAAAAATGTGTAACTCTCATTTTGGTGAAACCTTAGGTCTTAAGAGTAGCAGTGCCCTCTTTCGCCATGAGATTGCCTACGTCCTCGGCCAAATTCAGAGCGATGCCTGTGTGGATGAGCTGAAGACAAATCTGCAAGACATGAAGGAAAACCCAATGGTGAGACATGAGTGTGCTGAGGCCCTGGGATCCATTGCTACCCCAGAATGCACCAGGATTTTGGAGGCTTATCTGAAGGACAATGAACGAGTGGTCAAAGAGAGCTGTATTGTAGCACTAGATATCAGTGAATATGAAAACAGTGATCAGTTTCAATATGCTGATGGTTTGGCTAAATTAAATACAGTGAACAGTTAACAATAAAGCATTTTAGCTTTCAAATTTTGATTTTATTTTTTCTTGTGTGATAAATTACATATATACTTTCTAATGGGATTGTGATAGTAAATAAACAGAAAAAATATAGGCATCTTTCGTTTAAGTTTAATCACTTTAAAACTAGATTTACTGTCTTTTTGCATAACCTAGCAGTGTATATGCACTAGATGTACTTATTATACCCCACGCAACTAGTTGCGTGAGGTATAATGTTTTTGACCAGTCCGTCAGAGTGTCAGTCAGTCAGTCAGTCTGTCAGTCCTTTTTTTTTTGTCAGCGCAACTCCTCATAAACCGCTGCACAGAATTTCATCAAACTTTGCAGGTATTTAGGACACAATGTGTAGGTGTGCATATTACCAGGAAATTCCGATTCCATTATTTGGCCATACCTTGAATATAGAGATGAACAGTTTGTCATCGCAACTCCTCATAAACTGCTGCACAGAATTTCATCAAACTTTTCAGGTATTTAGGACACAATTTGTAGATGTGCATATTACCAGGAAATTCCTATTACTTTATTTTTTCCGGGAATTTCCGCACTAAAAACAGGTTTTGGCCATACCTTTTATATAGAGATGAATAGTTTGTCAGTGCAACTCCTCATAAACCACTAAACAGAATTTCGTCAAACTTTGCAGATATTTAGGACACAATGTGTAGATGTGCATATTGCCAGGAAATTCCGATTCCTTTATTTTTTCCAGGAATTTCCACACTTTAAAACTTAGATATTTGACCATACCTTGAATATACAGATGAACATTTTGTCAGCGCAACCCCTCATAAACCGCTGCACAGAATTTCTTCAGACTTTGCAGATATTCAGGACACAATGTATACATGTGCATTTTACCAGGAAATTCCGATTCCTTTATTTTTCTGGGAATTTCGTCACTTTACAACTTAGATATTTGGGGATATCTTGAATATAGTGGTGAACAGTTTGTCAGCGAAACTCCTCATAAACCGCTGCACAGAATTTCATCAAACTTTGCAGATATGTAGGACACAATTTGTAGATATGCATATTACCGGGAAATTCTGATTCTTTCATTTTTTCTGGGATTTTCAGCACTTTGAGTTTTGGGGGAGCGTGGGGTATGTGAGCTTGCTCACTTTTTCTTTCATTTCTTAATTTTCTAGGGAATATACATGGATATAAGGAACATTACTCGTAGATAAAGCAGTAAAAGATTTTTAGTTCATTTATATATCCTTCAGCATTTGTTAAATAATTATGAATGAAGTATGTCATAACTAGAGACATAGTGAACATTTGAATGATAAACAATGGGCCAGGATGTGTATATAGATATATGAAATCCTTTATTGTGGTCTTAAACCAGTTTTTTTACAATATTCACAAACTAATGAGATGATGATAAATGAACTCGGCTAATCCAGGGTGTAGTTAATTTTTTTTTTTATTGGAAGGGGGTCACCCCATTTTTAGGTCACCTGAGTCACTCAGATGACCTATTGCTATCTGTTTTTGTCTGTCGTCGTACGTCGTTCGTCTTCAATCGGTCGTAAACTTTTGAACATTTTCAGCTTCTTCTCTGGAACGGCTGAGCTAATTTTAACCAAATTTGGTATACAGCATCTATGGGTGAAGGGGAACAAAAATTGTGAAAT